TTCTTTCATACTGATAAGCTTCTCAATAGAGTCAAACATGCTGCTATCATCTTAATTTCCAAGAGGAAAGATGCTCAATCTATAAATAATTTTCATCTTATCTCTCTTTTTAATACTTTGTATAAGGTTATTGTTAAGCTTTCTTTGATAGAATTAAACCTTTACTTTGTAATATTACGAGTTATATTTAAATTGATTTTATTAAAGGTAGAAATATTTCTTATATTATCATTTTGGCTAATGAGTTTTTTTTTGTGGTTTTAAATCTTTTAATTTTGGTAAAAAAACTTATATTCTAAAATTGATTTAATTGAAATTTTCTTTATGATATACCTATCAAATTAGGTTTCCAAATTGGTTTTATTCATTGGATTAAGGCATGTACAACTCATGTTTATTTCTCTATTATTATAAATTATGAAATGGATGGTTACTTTGCTTCTTCTTCTGTTTTGAGATAAGGGTGTCCTCTTTCTCCTTATTTATTTTTTATTATTATGGATGCTCTTTCCTTTAGATTGAATATTTAAAATAATTACATTATGCAATATGGTTTCAATAAAATTAATCATCTTATATAAGTTGATTATCTTTTTTTCTTGGATCATGCTCCTCACATTATGCATTATCTTACTATTGTTAGAAATATATGTAGTCATACTTCTAATTTAGTTGTGAACTTCTCTAAGTATATTTGTTATTCTAAGAATTTTGATGATATTCTTCAACAGACTTCATGTAATATTAGTGGAATGAATATTAAACCTCTGCCTTGAAACTACATTGGCATTGCTATTCATTTAATAAGAATAACATAGAGTGTAACTAAAAAACTATAATAAAATATTCATAATATAATAGATATAAATATAAAAGTAAAGCATTATGAAATAAATCCATATTAAATGATTTTGATGGAAAGAAAGCAATATGACCTAAAGACTTATACTCCTATTAAATAAAAATCTACATAAACAATTCTTAAGAAATGTATATGGTTAGATGTAATATTGAGAAGATTTTTCCTTAAAATCATTATATATACTCAACAACCATTACTATAATTAAGACATAAGAGAATTATTAAATAAAATTAGTGTCTTTTTTAAATGGATCTATAAAATTTTTGGTCAAGTACTTCTTTACATTGTTACTTTCTTTTACTATTAATTTGGCATTATTCTTATGCTTAGTGGCAATGAATAGATTGACATTTCTTGTCTTCTCAACCTCACTTTTTACAAGCATTATGATAAGAAATTGAACCCCTATCTCATCTACCTCCTCTCCCTTTACTTAACTCTCATACTTCTTTCTATGAATCTCAAATTGTAGATCAATAATTGACACCTCCTTTCTTACTTGAATATACTTTAACCTAATTTCACCACTTCATAACTTCTAAATAATGACAAAAAACTGCTTCAACCCTTCATTTATTATAATGGATTGACTTATAGCTGATTGTGCCTCTATAGTCTCCCCTAATCTCTTAGCCCAACATTGTAGCACCTTCGTGCTCTCTCCCCTTTATATACCTTCCTCTAATATTGAACAAAGATTGAATCATCTTTAAGTAATATAGAAATTTTTTTTGAATGATAATCAAACCATATTGATTAAAAAAGAATTAAAAAAAAGCTCAATCATTGCTTGAAGAGTCGTTCAACAGTTCTTTAGGAATCTTTGAACAAACGTCAAATCATCTTTAATCAATGATAAAGTAATATTTGAATGATATTTGAAAACAAATCAAGCAAGATAGAAGCTACCCTAAATGCATTTGTAAATGATCAAACAATGTTTAAACTAAAATTGAGAACAGATTGAACAAAAATCAAAGCATTTTTTTAATAATAATTTAATAATGATCAAATAATGGTCAACTTATGAAGTTGCTAAAGAAGATGTTGTTCGAAAAGCCGCGGTGGCTATTTGAAAAAAAAAAAATTAAAAAGTCAGACAATAGCTTTCTAGCGGTCACCGCAGGTATTTAAGTCTGGTGGAAAAACACAAATTTCAACTACAGTTTTTTGATAACACATACAAAATACAGCTTTGCCAAATAGAAAAAA